TGCCATGCTGTAAATTGATCTAGTAGGGATGAATGGCCGGGCGCCTTCAGCTAAACGAGTCCACTAAAACTAATGTGGTCATCATCCAATGTCGAATACTTACAGAGTTATTTATTTTGGGGATTTATTTACAACTACAGTAGAAATGCTGCTCTTGCTTTTCCAATATTTGCATTTGCGTCTGCATCCTATTCCTTGTTCATAGTTAACACTAACTTTGAGAGCTTACAAAAATGCATATGTTAAGGATTTCTTTACCTTTTCAACTATATATTTTGGTAATGATTTGCCCCTGTAAACCTCTAGATGTCAACCACAGAAAGCACTTTGTACAGATATAATCTGTTCTTCATTATCGTTTTAATATACTTGTATGAAATAATTGCTGATATCAGTGTAAAACAACAGAATATACTACATTCAAACATTTTCATGACCTTGTACTTCGTCCCAATACAACTGGTTACGTTACTTGGCTACCTAGGTTACACGCAATGGATAAGCCACAAATGATAGGACATATAACTAAATCTGTCGACTTCACACTTTTCGATTGTAAATGGATTCCAGTTAGTTCCAAGTTTGTAGTTGTTGGTTCGAAGCCTAGAGGAACTGGCGCTATTCAAATATACGATGTCTCTGCGAAAGATATTCAACTGATATCCGAAGTAAGACAAGATCAAATTATATATAAGCCTGTTATACGTCAGTTTTTGTTAAGCCTGGTTATTTGCATTTATGTGAAATCTTATTTGTAATTAGGCAGTTCAATCTTTAACTCAACTGTTTTAGTATTTTCACGCAAAAAATGGTCGAACTATAAATAAATAATTTGACATAACTTTGAAGGTCTTTGTTTTTAGCACAGGAGACCAAATGGTCTGGTTGACCATACTAACCTAAAGCATATCATTAATGCACATCTTCGAAATGCAAACAGTTGATGATACCACGTGGTAAAATGACAATGAGTCAAGTGTCAGCCTAAGGATATGCTTTACTTCTAAAATAGCACTCAAGTGAGGTCAAAACATTTTCTACGGAGCCTTTGTATACATGTTTATACGTTAAGTTCAGCTATAATTTGTGATATTCTAGCCAAGCAATATAATACTATTATTGCTAAATACCATCAAAAACCTGCGGCCTGTAGATTTCCTTTGATAACAAAGTTTATTCTTTGATCAGTAAAATATTACATACCCGTTCAATGTACTCATCCCTCGGCAAGTAGACGTACGTCTTACCTACGTCAAAAGTTATGAAACATTAATCAAAGTTATTTTAAGTTAAAAAAAAAACTCTGCACTCCAAGTAAGTGCACAACTCTTTTATTGAAAACTCAAATTATTCTTGGTACTTCATATCTTACTTCCGTCCATTTGCAACTATTTTAATTCCTGTGGTTCTTTTATATTTTTCAGAGTGAAAAAAGTAGCTCGTTTAAATGTTGTACATTTGGTGCATCCATGCTTCCCCAAAGACATTTAGCTACTGGAGCGTTTAATGGAAGACTAGCGATATGGGATATCAGTAGTGATGGACGCCTTGACAATCCAATATACGGCGTTCAAGCGCATAAAGAGATAATAAATGCGATAGACGGTGTTGGCGGACTTGGAGTTGGTGAAGGGGCTCCAGAAATTGCCACAGGTAGTAGGGATGGTGTAGTCAAGGTGTGGGACCCAAGACAAGCTAAACTCCCAGTAGCAACTATGGAACCTGTTTCACCTGACGGTAAGGAAAACTCAGTTACTGAAAATAGACGGGATTGCTGGACTGTTGCATTTGGCCACGCATATAATAAGCACGACAGATGCCTAACTGCAGGTTATGATAATGGTGATATAAAGCTGTTTGATCTACGAGCCATGAAGGTCCGTTGGGAGACGAACATAAAGAACGGTGTCTGTTGTCTACAGTTTGACAGGAAAGATATATCTATGAATAAACTGGTAGCGACTACATTAGAAGGGAAAATACACGTATGGGATATGCGAACACAACATCCAAAGAAGGGGTTTGCATCATTAGTCGAGAAAAACCAAGGTGCTACTATTTGGCAGGTAAGCCATCTACCTCAGCAACGTGATATATTTATGACTGCTGGTGGGAATGGATCTTTATGCTTATGGCAGTACCATTATCCCAGCAAACGTCAGAAGATTGTGAGGGAAGCAGATCCAGAGGGGAACGGCGATATCGAAGTCTCACAAGGTGTGATCGGTCACCTAACTCAGCTTCAAAATGTCACATTGTCCAATCAACCAATATGCAGCATAGAATGGTGTCCAGACAAGCTAGGGCTGGCAGTTTGTGTGGCATTCGATCAAGCAATCAGGATACTAATTGTTACAAAACTAAATAAATTCTAAATAAACTATTTTAAAGTTGTAACGTAAGCTGTAAAATAGTATGTATATATTGAGGTTATATTATTGTAATATGAAAATGCTTCGCTCTTTTATATCCTGTCATTACAGTTAGATTAATTATTACAGGGATAAACTGAGGATGCAAAATTTTCCGTAAACTCAGCCGCCATGCTAAAGTTCATAAAACATGTTGCAATTATAAAGTATTTCCTAAAACTCGGTCAAATTATTCAACTAAGATCGCTTAGTAAGCGTCTATCTATAATCTACCGATAGAAGCATAAAGCACAACACCTATCGCACAGTATAACTGGGATATTTGACCATTAAAAAAGACTATATTGGTTCTCTACAGCCCAGGAATTACTAACTCCTGATGCAAATCATCCTTAAATCTCCAGCCATATGACTGGAAAACTAATCCTTAATCAATAGGAAGCTGTACTTTTCATCTGATGATCACCAGTTTTGTCGACCTGGAGTCTTCCAATAAGGGGTTTCCGGAACTGTAACGCTCTTGATAATGTGTACTAGGGATTGAACATTAGTCACTGAAAGGTTTCTTGACCACAATCACTGTGACTCATACGACTATATTAAGACAAAGCTTGCATACCATAAACCACACTCATTTTTGTATATGAAATATTTTGTGGGAGCTTTGGCTTAAGTATGATTTATATGCATAAAAATGATGATACTTTTTGACTGTCCGATGTTTATGATATAGGATGTATTTTCAAACATTCATGCGCTTTATAACCATGAAAATAAGAAACAGTAGAATATTTGTCAGTGTTTAAGGTAGATAGTGAGTTTTTAAGTAGAAGTCTCGCTAAATGTTTTTGCAATGATAAATATCCTCGAACGTAACTTTCACATTATCCACCACATCAACGTAAATATAAATTATACAATGTTTATGAAAATCGAGCAAATACTGATGATTTGTTGGGTACAGTACTAAACCAAATGATGAGAATTTCATTTGCGGGCTGTTTAAATATTTGTTAATAGGTGAGGTTGAGTCCGAAGCGCGCACTGCAAAGGCATTACATTTGGAGCAATTTAGTGTACAAAAAAAACGTAGGAGGTAGGATAGGACAGAAGATATATATATTATCGCTATCACATATGACTGTCCATATGTCGTATGAACAAATTGTGTCTGTATCCTAATAGTAATGTCACTCGAGATCTGTTTTGGTATGTAAATCAAAAGATAATCACTGGATTAAAAAGCGTTTTCTAGGAGTGATATTTTTCAAAGTAAACAAACGGGTAAATGCAGACTGCATTTGAAAACAGGTAATTATTTGGTATCTATAGTGTCTGGAAGTTATACACCTCATTTGTTTACATCCTCCTATAAAGCTGAAATTTCAGCACTGATAAACCCAGTTTTACTAGATGCAATCACGTCAAGTCATCAAGACGGTATGTTATATTTGTTCACTGGTCAACAGACTAGCTATATGAATATTCCGGAATGCAGGTTATTGAACATGAATTGCGTGGCTATAAGTCACTTATCTTTAACTTCAAATAATCGACAGCAAAAATAGAGATCACAAAATGACCAATGACTATTTACTATTGTCCATCATAGCATTAATAAAAGACTGTAGAATAATACACTTGTAAAATAAGATATTTTATTAACAACATAAAGTCAACAAGAGGTAACTATAAACAATCAGACTTGCAAACTAAGTTCAATATAAAATACGAAGTCTTTAGATCTTTCCATTCATATTCACTAAAAAGAAGCACCATTGAATTACGACCATATCAACAAACAATAAATTATTATGCCATATCCGATAAGCGCACTAACTAGTTTCTTCAGGAAAGACTCAATGTTACGCTGACCACCTTTTAATTCTAGCACAAATCTCTTAATAGAGTGTGGCATATATTTGTTGGTCAAAATGATTATGATATGACGGTCAAAAACAATTGATAAGCTTCCTATAAATCGAATATATTCGGTGCACTTATATAACATATCATTCCACCATAATTAAGGATACCAAAGTGATCAATTTCATGTGTGGGGAGGTGGCTTAGTGGCTAAGACGTCTAACTTTTAACTGTATGGTGGCAGGTTCAGACTTGACTTCACTTACTTTGGTTTTCCTATCATCGGCATCACTAGTTATCATAGCTAAAATGCAATTAAGATGGAAAAAAGATCAGAGATTATGAATCGCAACAAGTTATACACGTACAACTTCTTTAGGTCAGTTTTTCCTACATATTTTAATCTATCTTCATTTACTTATTTTCACCAAACTAAAATGAATTTCCATAGAAAACCATTGAGTAATCAAGGAATTAACATTTTGTATTGTTTTGACTATAAATAAAAAATATGTAGTTCTTTACAAATTTATGTGTACATATTTGGTAATAAAAGAAACAAAAGAACATATATAATGGAAAATTAGTGTGCAAGTTCATTTTTACATAAAAGAATGTAAACTATATATATATAACAGCATGGAAACCGGCAAAGCTATTTTGAATGAATATGAAGCAAATAAAAGAAATGATGATATTTTGAGATTTTCTTCTTTAGATAATTTTCATTATTTTCTCTTGCTAAATCTGGAATTTTTAAGATTAATTATTTCGAGGTGTAACATTTAATTCACGTAGTTGACGAATTATATCCTCTAGTTTCTTTTTTCGACCACGTTCCTCTTTACGCATTGCTTGAAGGAATCCTGTACGTTTTTTGTCGGAATCACGTAGACGTTCTAGTAGTTTAATTGCTACACTTGGTGGGACACGATCATAAGCACTGCCTGTTAATGATTTGAAATAATTAAAAAAAAAACAATATTTGTATTATAAAGATATTGAAATTAAGTTGTAAAATATATTTTAGTTAAACTTTACTAAGACAAACTAGAAAAGAACCTTAATATTTCTACAATAATTGTTAACAATTTAAAGTCTAATACCAATTCACTGTATAAATTGTTCCATCAAATGTTACTTGAAAAAAATAGACAATATGAGAAGGTTATAATGCTAAAATCAGCCTCCAAATGCCCTGGTACAGCCGAGAGTGGGGAGGGTCCGATCTCCCTCTCGAAATGCTCCCACATGTTCACACGTATACAGCCTCTGCCAGGGAGTTCCTACTCACTGTCTTCTCGTGGCATTACTGATGTTTACGAAATTGAGAGGACGAAAAGCGAATGTCCGGCGCTTTAACCGGGTTGGTGGACACGGAAAGTTCACCTAGGCGAGTTGGAAAACACTGATTCTAAACTAATAGTGTACATGGGCTCCAGTATCCTTAGGGAACAAATGGCGTATGAATCAATCGTTGATCACCGGCTACTATGGGACTGCATCTCCTGACGTTGCTCCACTGTCTTGTGGATCAGACCTTTAGATCGAAGGTTCCGGGTGTGGCTCCCTTAGAAAATTATTTGCTTCGGTCTGTGCACCCGGGCAGTATCACAGCCCACACACAAATCAAATGACTTGTGTGGCGCATATGCATTCGGTGCCACTTTATAAGAATATTTATGTGTTCAAATAAATAAACCCCACTTATCATACTACGATTTAGACAGTCCACAGTAGTAATTATTAGCCAATACACAATTCAAAGTGTACGTTAAAGCTGAGTACAAAAACTTTTAATTAATAAGTAAGTTATTACTTTCAAATATATAATTATCGATGTAACTATTAATAATGTTTTAATCAAGTATGCAGATGGAGTTTTCCAACAACAGTACACTCATCCCTACTAATTTTTATGTAAAAGAAAACAAAATACCCGTTAATTGAAAAAAATACGTAGCACACTTCTTTTCTCGAGACTTACCATATTTTCCCGATCCTAAACAATAGTTTTATGGAAAAGAGAAGAATAGATAAGAATAATTTTTGGAATATGAAAAGTGAAATGCAGTTAATTAAGTGAAAAACCAGCATAAAAAAACAATACCACGGATTTCGGCCCGCCGAAATTCCCTCGAATCTTAAGCTATATTTATCCGCCAATGGTGTGTATCTCATACTTTAGAAAAGGAAGGTACATAAGAAATAAATTTAATTGCAAAACATGTGAGTGATTATTACTATTACTTTTTTTAGAATCTGATAAAAGTATTTTGCAGATAAGTCCTGAATATATAGTACTTGACATTATGATAGAAATGATTAATTTGCAAGTTGAGACTATCACCAGCAAACAGATAAGTAAACATTATCACTATTCACTGAATAATAATAGATTAAAAGTTACGGGGTCATCAATAACGAGGAAGCAGTAAAATCATATCTACTTTCTACTCAAGACATTAAGAAAGCATTAAAGCTACAAAGGTCTTTTTTATAGACAGACAACGACTGAGAAACCATTAAAAACTAAGTACCAGTGAAGAACTTTTAATGATAGTTTGAGATTGGATAGGGCATTGAGCATATCTATGAAGCGCACAGGACCTTCGGAATTCGACAACATCCAGTGACCGAGCTGAAATTAAAGGAAGGTCATGTTGTTTGTTGACATTTTCAGTTAGATATCGTTTGAAGTCGTGAATACATTCAGCTGAAGACTTCCAACTTACAGAGAGTATTGTATTACTCAGCCACCAAGTTTGAAATGAAATAATCTTGGTTGAAGTTAAGAACTTTTAACTAAAAATGTGCGATATTCCAATAGATTCCACATTAACGTATACATAATTTTTAATTATTCACGAAATATGTTTTAAAGTATATATCAATAACATTTATCAGTCATTTCATTTTCAGTTACAAAGTTTTCGGTCATTTTCGTACCGCATCATATGTTGAATGAGTTGATTCTGGAGCACACATCGCTACTTCAAAGAACAGACCAGAATAAAAACGTACGAACTATTGTGATTTTCCTGGTTCTATCTTATTGTAATGAATATCATGATAAGTTGTAAACCTTTTAAAAGATCGTGTTAATTTATTTTGCGATTTATGTACACAGCTACTTTTCTCAAACAAATTTAAAGTAGGAAATTTTTTTATAGTAGCTACATAGTTTTAAAATAGGTGTTTAAGAGCTTGAACATGTAATATAATTCATTAAGTGTCATTAAACTTCAATACTTCATCAGTTGATAGCAGATCTTTGTGAAAACACTTGGTTAGACTACGAATATATGTATAACTTTTTAATTATCGACAAATATTTTTATCTATAGCCATAAAAATAAAATAAGCACGAAATAATACAGTATGTACGTTTCAAGCAAGTTCAAAGAACACAAAAAATGACTACTAACCAATAACATTTTTACGAAATGCAATGTATGAAGCCCAATCATCTTTGTGATATAAATCCAATAACTGTCTTAAATCAGCAAAAATTAACCAAAGAGTAGTACGATCTAGGCCTGGAACAGGTTGTGAACGTGCAAATGATTCACACAAAGATAAATCAATACTTAATTGTTGAAGACCTGTTTCAGAAAGAGAACGCACCTAAAATATAAAGTAAATGCTGTAAGAAAAAAAAGGAAATCCTGCAAAAAATTAAAACAAAAAAGGTCTACACTATGAATTGACAGTCCCAGTAAAAAATACATTGATGTTTGGATACCTAGGAACACTTAGCAGAAGTCTTGAATTATACACTGTCATATCTTTTGGTACTTTTATCAATAAGTGATATATATAAATCTGGGAAATTAGGAGAAACTGATGTTTTTATGAAAATCTTTAGCAAGCCGGCCTGACAAACAACTTAGAAACACTATGCAACTTAATCTACATGGAGTATACACAGATAATCTATTCATATTTGGTGAAGACTATGGCATACTACGGAGTCGCGTGAACTTCTTGAGTAACAATCCAAGTAGTTTAGGGATCCATTTCTTTTCCTCTAAAAGCAAACTGTTACTTCAAGAGTAGTCTATGTCATCCTTGAAGCTAATTGTAGAGAGTGGAGTAGTTGAGTGCATTGAACACTTTAACTTATCTTGGAAGTTTAATTAGCCCTCGTGGGTGGGCATTTGACGAAATCTGAACGCGGATTTAAAAAGATAAACTGTTTTTTTCCAGCTTGCGTCATTTGTAAAGTAGTCGAGGTCCCCGGTCTCCTAACAAAGTGATATGTATACCATAATACATAGCAGTTTGTTTTGTGCTACTCTATGGTTGTGAAATGTGGCCTATGAAAGAAAAAGACATGTTTATGCTATCTGATAACCGTGATTAATGGTTAGATGCTTCGGATGACATTGTTAGGAATCAGTCATGATGGAGATGCATCTACTCTTTACCTCCCATCACATCTTGAGTTTCAACATTCTGTATATATATCTTTCGACTCTATCTCATCGCGCTTCATTTCCAATGTTTAGTCTCTCTCCCTATTAATACTACTACAGTCATTTTAACTTCTTTTCTATTGGTGATGTTATTATTATTATTATTGTTTTAGTGCGATAAGTTAGGCTAATCTATTTTCTTCCCAGGGCTCTACCCTGATCATAAAAACGACTAAGACTTTAAATATTACAAGTTTCAAATAGATAGAAACTAAACATCGAGTTATCAAATAGTATCCTATAAAATAAAGTAACTTAATTTGGAGACAACATTGAAAAACTATTAATTGTATGTCTAGGTCATTAAACAATAAAACATTGATTACCATTACGGAGTGATCAATGTATGCTAGCGTATATTCTAATAAATTATTCAACTGAACATGTATAGATAGAAAGTCTATCTGAGTTGAAACAGTGAAGTTGATTAAATTATATAAATATCAATCGACTATAACATAAAAAAGATATTTTAATCTGTATGCAAAACAAATATTAATGCGCTTGTGATTTATGCATAAATTTGAACAATCTTCAATGTGGTTGATAAATAAAAGCCAAAAAATACCGATAGGGTCAAAAGTATCAAGCTCAAACGGAATATAACATAAACATGAACGATCCATTTCACTATTCCTAACTGTATACTATGTATATACATCTGAATCGGTTTAGCCCAACTAGATTTCTTTCCTCACTCTTTGTCTCTCCTCTCGAGTAGCTTGGCTTGTGGGGAAGATAGTCATCTACATATAACTGTCTGTAACTAAGCCTATCAGTGGTAAATGCCTCATCCTTTGAAAAAAAATCAGGATATTTGTTGGGCCTATCACGTGCATATATATATATATATATATATATATATATATATATATATATATAATATGGCTGAAGTTGTAGACAGAAACCAATGCATTTTGACTCAATATTTTAAAAGTATTTGTTGACTACGCAGCTTGTATATCTTCGGTTCAATCTTGTATAAGATTATAGTTTTGTATGGTTGTGTACACAGTACTAGACTAAAAACGAAAATAGTTTCATGCTTTCTGCTTTTTAGTATTCATGTAGTTGGTTTTAGTTCATAACAAAAAAAACAATGTTGAAAAATAAAAATATAGTTTCACAATTGATTGATCACTGGGTGGTGATCAATCTCATGCGTGTCAGGTCCTTAGTGCTGATCGAATGCTATCGATCAAGTTGCAATGTGGCCACCAGTCTAGGTGGCTCGACACTGCGGGCACTATATATATTAGGGTAACATGGTGGTAGTTTATTGCCTACGATGAATAGCTGTCTTATATTCCACATGGTTGAACTCCATTGATCATGCTTTTACCCTTATGCCAAGTGAGACAATTATCAACAACAAGTGAAGGAAATTGGTTGGACAATATTGTTGATTGATTAACGTTAAATATACATACTATTGGATGCCAATTCAAGGGTCTAAAGATTATTCATTCGCGCAAGAAATTGAAGGCGTTAAATAGCACTAGAGTGCATTAAACAATGTTCAGTCACTTCATCGCAAGATCTCAATTATATGTACTTAAAATATGGGACAACAACTGATGGTTACTGAACATAAAAAGTCCTCAATATTTAAAATTTAATAATCTCTACGTATTTTTTCACCAATTATAATTAAAAAAAAAGAATTATGAAGATGATTTATTTCAATTTTCAGCACATATAAACTTACTTGAGAACCAAATAAAACATCATACAATAAACGGGCAATATGTTTACAGACTGACATACAAGCAGTTTGAGCAATTTTCGGAGGAAGATTTGAAAATGAATCGAACACTGATTTTAACCACGATGTTAAATGAACAATATTTTCAGTTGGTTTGATTTTTGTATTAGCTGTATAACTTACACCATTACGTCCATCAACAGTTTGATCATTTTTATTGATATTACTGTTAATTTGACCACTATTATTATCATCGACATCATCATAGTTACTTAAATTAATAAATTTCGTAACACTATCCTTTAAATGATTACAAATTTGATCTTCAACCAACACACGTATATCTTTAAGTAGTGATGCACCTTGTAATCGGCTACGTGGTGGATTAGCTCCAGAGTTCAGAGTAACTGATGCAGTCATATCTGAATCTTCACGTTGATTATCCTGAAAAAAAAGATTTTACGAGAACTAAAATTTCTTTAAACACAAAGTACAACCAATAATTAATTTTAAAAAGTATTTGATAAAAGCATGACACTGGAATTCAGGCCAGAATGTTTGTTAAAGAAGTATATATAAATGATAGGTAACATTAAATATAAAATCCATCTTCCATCTCTAATGTCTCACGTCAACGATTTGCATAAAGTAGGCGCTGATAATGTTATCAGGAACAACAATGAGAGCTCTGCAATCAGACCATTTATTTCACACTACATAACATCACCGAAATAAACAGGTAAGTTTAAATTAATCGTAAACGACATAGAGTCTGTAACAAATGTGCGTTAACATACAACACTAGCACAACAAGATGAATATCAAAGAAGATAGAAATAATATAGTAGCAATGATCATGAGAAAAACTAAGGATTGAGAATATGATTCAAAAAGATAGAATAAAAGGGTGAGAATGAAGCGACACTGAAATTCAAGATATGGGAGAGGATAAAGAGGGAATGCATTAATGTGTCACTGTAACTAACTTTCAACAATTTCAATCGAGGTCTCAAATTACTGACTGCGGTTGTCTATCGGACAGGTATGTCTAGTGTTATGTAGTAGGAGGTAATAGGCAGAAAGTTCTAGGTTTAGATCCACTGAGACTTGAATCTCCATTACAGATAGAAGCGTCGTCGTTGAGCTATTCAGGAACTGACTGATCTACTATTGTAGGACTAGGACATTGTTACACTGATTTATTAATTATTAATTATCAATTTCAATATTTTACACAGTGCTTAATCCTATATAATTATACATGCCAATTTATAATATATCCAACTATGCAAAGTGAAATGACATGGCAAGAATGGATAAGTTGACCAAAGTTCACATTATCTGTCTGTTTTTTTGTTTGTTTTCGGTAGTTAAGATATCAACGCAATTTAATTGGAGTGCAATATTTTTCAAACAATTAACGGAATATGCTAAAACCTTTGAAAGTATCACTTTTGAATAGAGTATACAAAATCTGACATTTATAGTGAAACCACGCACTAGTATTTTGATGTGTTTATGAATCAACTTTTTTTATCTAAATATTCACCACAATATGAGAAATCTCGGTGTATTACTTTCTAACATTTACAAAATAATGCTTATGATGACGCTTATTCAAAAAAAATTGGAAAGGAATCCCAACAAACTATTAAAAAAATTATTCCTAATTGCTTAGTAGTTACACAACAATCTTAGCATAGTATAATCCTACGAGTGTCAGTCTTCAGTGTTATTAGAGATATGTGGATAATTGTCACTTTCCAAATACCCAAATCATGGAAGGATACATTTTCTTGAGGTACCTAAAAAAGAAACCGAACTCTTAGTGGTCTTGGAGACTGAAAAATGTAAATAGAGAGAAAAAAACAACAGTTTGAGACTGGTAGCACAGATATTTTGCCTGTCTGCATAGGTTTGGGCACCCGGATAGTACTCCAGCCCTAACACAAATCAATGATAACTACTACTGGCCACATTATTATTGTGTGGGGCATGCGTATTTGGTGCCCACTAGTACCAATGTTTACATGTTAAAATAAATCAGTGATAACTACTACTGTGGTTATCGATTTGTTAACACCTTATTTTCGACGCAGAAGACCGAGATCAGCTGGCCGAGCTGAGATGTGCTACCTTTAAAGATGATATTTTCTAATCTCCCCATTCGTTGTAAGAAAGAAGCATTGCTACAGAAACCGGTTGTTTGAAGGAGACACTTTTCTGCTGACACACACCAATACAGTCGGCAGGATAACTTTCTTCTCGGACATGAAGTTGCTGCTTTGAAACTTATAATTCTCCAACAGACAAGCCTGGGATGATAAGATTTAAAGGGATAAGTGTTCCAGCCAGCATAACTCGATTAGGTTAGTGATATCCAAGGCCGAACACCACAGCAAGGTAGCAGCCCCAATCGGGGTTCTATAAGTGCAGTTATAATTGTTATTGAATGTTTTATAAATAGCAGATTTGCTTGAAAAACATGGCTGATATTGATCACTAGTATTATGATGAATTAAGAGTTCAATCTGTATGATAATAATATCAGAAAAAAAAGGCAAATCAGTAAAAACGTTCAACAATCTTTTTTAAATGTAATATTGAATACCGAAGATATTGAAACTTACCCTAATCAATGCAAAATCTTTTAAACGACCACTGGTTATACTTGAAGCCTCATCTAGCAAGGTGTATTGAAGATAGTTATCCAAATGCCCACAAACTGTTTCTAACTCATCCAAATTTATACAAAATTGCGTAAGCCTGGGTAATTGACGTAAAAATGAACGAACGCCCGAAGTTAAAACTGTATTTAAACATTGACTGAATAGGAAATTTGTAGCACGATTAATTGTATCCTCCAGTTCTGTATAAGCTAAATCCATATTTTCACAGAACCGATAACACAAATTGATGTATTCACGAACAGTTCGATAAATTTTAGGCACCATCCATGAAAAGCACAACTGTTTAGGAAATGGAAGTTCAGAAAATTCGACTGTATCTCCTGGTGGATACATTTCAAGGAATTCAGCTAACTGTTCCGAATTTGATATTTTAATTGTTTCATAGTTATCTACAGCAATTATTGCTTCAAATCTAGATGAAATGTGTCAGTATAAAAAACTTTCATTTGAATAAGAAATGCTATATAGAACAAATACAATGATAAGGTCATTTTGAAAAAAAAGTTCAGACTTACTGAAATATTTATCTTCAAAGAGACTGGACGCACCATAACTCGAAAAGATTGAAGTTGAGATTATACCACTGGACACCGGCTAATTCTAATGAGTAAACGTTCACCGCCAGAACTAAATGCCCTAGGTTCGATCCTCAGTGGGATTGTGAGTCGGCACAGCTCTAAAGTCTCATATTAGGATAGAAAAGCTGAATGACTAGCTACTGTCTGCCTCGCTGCTCAATGCAGACCTACACAAGATCAGGATATAGCTCGACCCATGTAGTCTGAGGCATGTCGGTAGACACCGACTTTTTAAGTAAAGTCTACATAATTTGTGCATTTCATAGTCGGAGACGTTAGACCAATATAGAGCTCTACCATATTCTATGTCGCTTATTACTGAGTGACTGAATCTGAACATTGATAATGAGATATTGATGCTAACAATCTTAACACACAATGATGGCGAAGGTTGAAAATTTCATAATGTCAAAATTTATCTACATAACTTAATTTCTGTTTCATATGAGATGATTTTGACAAGTAGATATGTGATTAAATCATTTAGAAATTGTACCCGTTAGAAGACATAAGATATTTGAAAACGACTTTGATTTTTGACAGTGTAAATAGAAAATACATGATATACTAAGTATTTGTCTTGACAGTTTACCTGAAGTAGAATATTGTGCCATATATGTTTATTTTGGGTTAAAAATGGCATTCAATAATTATGAATAAAAACAGCAGATTACTCCTGAAAAGTTAACGAAAACAAAACGGAAGTGATATGGTGAAAATTTACAGCTAAGGCGAGTGATTTTAGCGGAATTCGGCCCCATCAACTGACAGAACGAAACCCCATCAAAATAAAGTAGAAATAAGAAATCTTGATACAATGGTCCATATAGAGCCATAGAGATTCAAGAAAGATATTTCAGAAATTAAGTTGCTGTAAAATTATTTTTGAAGTCTTATAGAATGTACGATCAGAACATTCCGTTCTTTTTGAGACTCGTGATCTGGATACACCTGTATCTTAATGCCGATCTTCAGACTGAGACTAGAATCCAGAATCTTTGACTTCAAACGACAACGCGTTATTCCCTGGGTTACTGAGTTCGGATAGCCACTAACTTATTAAACAGATATCATGTTGTATATCATTACGGTGAATCTATAAATATTGCTGAACGACTTTAACATTATAACCCGTTTTAGCAAAGCAGAAAGCAACAAAAGTAAATGAATAATTTCTAATAGAAAATGAAATTTACTGAGAATATATAAGACTATTTCTAAGTGGACTATAGAAACTCTAAGGCTAACACATAAAATCTAGTATCCTAACCTTGATTCTAACACTATAGTTTCTGCAATTAGCATACATTGAAACGAAACACCAATGCATTTCGTATTTTTTAAAAATAAGTTTACTATTATTTCATTTTCAGCATTCACGCATTGGTATTTTCCTAAATATTACAACGCTTTGTAAATACTGCTATATTTTCTTTGGCGAAATTCGTCGTAATGCGATCCAACCGTTGAATTCACACTTGATCAGTTGATCACAGAGATTTTCAAACTGATCATTGATCGACAATATAGATTTTTGTATCATTGAGATGGAAATATTAAATCCCAAGAGAAAGTGCCTGCTTTCCACGAACAGATAATACAATTAAGCAAAAATTAGAGACATATTTGTCAGGATTGACTAGAAACGAATCACTGACATTATTATCATTATTATTACTGTAGGATTTCTCATTGTTTTTTTCGATCGCTTTTTTCTTTTTCAACATGACAGTGTGGCAAAAATCTATTTACGAAAGTGTATGTGTGGTTACACATACATAAGAAGGAGAAATCGTGGTCTGCAAGTAACGACAGTTGGGCGCGTACCTAAGTGGGCTACAGAAACAAACTGAATAGGAAAGAGTTAAACTGGATTTTAATAAATTTCATTTTTCAAGCCACAAATCCTATAAACCAATTAGACATGGATTTACTTCTAAGTAAATCTCAATCAACTATCCCAAATCTAATTAGACTGACTAAATCATAAATAGATAATTGTCAAGGAAAACTGATCAACTTAATTGAACTACACACCCAAGCATTATTTACATTAACAGAAATGTCTACAGTTTACTGTTGTCTCCGAAGATTAAATTATCGGTAACTTCTATGAACTATTTATAAACTGTTATATATATATATATATATATATATATATATATATATATATATATATGGCTGGGACACGTGTTACGTATGCCCAACCACCGACTGCCCCGACGTGCAATGTTTTATGATGTAAGAGTAGGTTGGAAGAAAGCTAGGGGTGGCCAGACCAAAACGGGGCACAAATCCACGAAGTCAATGATAAGTGGACTGAACCATGTTGGTAGGTGTAGACTACCTGGTTGGGATCCGTGAAATGATAACAACTGATGGTTAGAGACCTTTAATGGCATGGCTCAAAATCGTTTGCAATGGCGAAGATGCATCCACTGTTTGTGTTCTACCAAATTCTTATCGTCTGAATTCTTCATGTCTCAATCCTTTTTCTCTTTTCAAAAATATCTCACTGTATTATACTCCTTCAATTACATCTTCAAACCCTAATCTTTCACATAATGCTTATACTCTTACTACTTCTACCACTATGGAATTTGAATCGACAACTGCATCTCTGTGTTGATGTGGTATGGCAACTCGAACTGATGTACGTACGTCAAAGTTCTACGTTGTGACTGATATATATGTATATATATACATATACTCTTATTAACTATTAAGTAACTAGATTATATATATCTTTATATTTATTTTAACATAAGCTTTCATTTCACCTATTGGTTAATATTATACGATTTTTCTTAAAGTATTTCCAATCTATTAGTTACAGTCTCTCGCACTCACAGCCACCTTTGACTTGATCTGGTATAATAATTATTTTTCATTTTATGGTGTGATGAGATCTGATATACTTGTATATAAACCACTTATGTCTGAAATATACGATCCATATAGTGGAGGCTGATATTTGTGTTTTGAAATGAACCGGTTGCGTTACCCGAGAAGTTATTACACAGAGGACCAATAAGAACTCAGAGTTGACTCCAAGGGTGCTTGTGTTGATCAACGCGTCATTAGTTTAGAACAGTGACAAGGTCATGTGTGTCAGTGGTCTGACTGGAGACTTTGTCACATGATATTTGACGGCGATTAGGGTATAATATTTGCCATATTAAATTCATCAGTTTTTGCTGCACTGTCATGTTGAAAAAGAAAAAAGCGATCGAAAAAAACCCTGAGAAATCCTACAGTAATAATAATGATAATAATGTCAGTGATTCGTTTCTAGTCAATCCTGATAAATATGTCTCTAATTTTTGCTTAATTGTATTATCTGTTCGTGAAAAGCAGGCACTTTCTCTTGGGATTTAATATTTCCATCTCAATGATACAAAAATCTATATTGTCGATCAATGATCAGTTTGAAAATCTCTGTGATCAACTGATTAAGTGCTGGACTCCTACATCTTTAGATAATCAAAGTTGTTGTAGAGTCAAACTGTTGTATATTGTGTATCGATTTCATATTCTTTAATGGAATTCGAGAAGTATATTAATTTTTAAGCATTTCAAATCAACGGTTACGAAATAACCCTGATATAATCTTGTTCAATTATTTATGTTCTAAATGAATTTTTTTAAAAAAAACTAAGGATATTAAATATAAATTACGCGAGACTATGATTTATGGACGAACAATACAGATACACGATGACAGGTCTTGGATTTCGGTGAGAAATTCATTCATCCGTTTGGTTAAACAGAGTTTTAATATTTTAACTGATGTCAGCTCGTGATGAAAACTCTAAATCTAATTCCGAACCCTAGCTGTCAACTGTAAATTTTAATTCAAATTTCTCACGTTGGTTTATAACCCTCATTTAGTCCTAGTTAGTAGGTGGACATTTTGAAAGTCACTTTAGCCTCGCTCAAAGGTCGCCCATAAATAATAGTCAACATACATTTCGAGTATATGTGTTTGTTTTTCCCCCAAAAAATTGCAGATAAACGTTTCATTTCTATTAGCTATTACAGGTTTCAAGCACATAATTCCACACAACTTTACGCATCATTCAGATTCTTCAAATGAAAAGTGAAAAAGCATAGTTAATAAGATGACTTAAGAACACTTAGTTTATCTTTCTTTCTGCTAAAAATAGTAGGTTTGACATGTAAGGAAAATCGCAGTTAATTTTTTTGTATTCATATTTACTCATTGATCTCTGATGGTACCTGATTGGTTAATTTGCTTTTAGTTTACTACATATCTCAATGTAATATTTGTTGCTATGTCTACAGATTTGATTATTAATTATGATTTTAAATTTTGTAGGGAATATAAAAGCTCTTCCGAAATTTTCATTTTCCCACTCTCTCTTATTTGTGTATACATTATTAACATTGAAGTGTTATAGTGTATTGGTCATCCGACTTATCTAGTTCGTATAGATTCTGATTTATATTCGAAGGATATTCTAATCGTTTATAACTCGTAACTACAAGTATACTGCGCAGCAGTTCACTCTGTTCTAATTTACGGCTGTGAAACATGGCCATTAATAGTGGAAGATACTCATAAGCTACCAGTATTTGACCATAGATATCTTAGAAATATTGCTCGCATCTGCTGGGATCCCCGGGTACGTAATAGTGAAGTTAGACACAGAGTATTAGGGAATGATGGTAAATCAGTTGACGAGGTCATGAATCTTCATCAACTGAGATGGTTGGGCCACGTGTTACGTATGCCTGAACACCGATTACCACGACGCACTATGGTGACTAGTATTGGCGATGGTTGGAAGAGAGTTAGGAGCGGCCAAACCAAAACATGGCATCAGTGATTGAAGTCACTAACTTCTAGCCTGAGCCATGTTGGCAGATGCAGACTACTTCGTTGGATTCCGTGTGACTATCGTAACCAATGGTTGGAGACTCTAGGTGACATGGCTCAGAATCGATCACAATGGCGTAGATGTATACACTCTTTATCTTCCCTTAAACCTTGAGATTAAAATTGCTTCATAACGTTCCTCCTTCCTATACTATATCCTTATATACAACCTATCTTTTATATACTACCACTACTAAATTAACTACTTCTATGAATTCGGTGTTCATCTTTTTGTGCTAATGAGGTATAGCAACTTGGACCGATGTATAAATATGCCTGATCCTACGTTGTAGCTGACTGACGTAACTATGGTGGCTTATTGCGAAATAGAACGATAAAAAATCCATTATACTTAGACGCTTAAATAATAGACTATCAACTTTATATGTTTCATAGAAAGAAATTTTTTCAAATCAATTTCACTTACTTAGACTTCCATTGACTAGCTAATAGTCTATGATAGTATCGTTGAACAATACCAATTGTTTCATTTAAACCAGTTATTGGGAAGCCTAAATTTTGCATAGTTCTTTCAAAAATAATTAAATAATCTTTTAATTTAATTAAATCATTTGGTGAATCACATGATTTTGCATTAATATGTACAAAATCTATTAAACGATTCACTGTATGTACCCATAATTCATCTAAATATGTTTGATAAAATACTGATGAACCAGATAATGTATGACGAATAAAATCATCAACTACAAAAAATCCACAAATTCCACTGAAAAATTCACCATAATTACGCATTTCAACCTAAGGATAAGAAAGAGAAGATAAAATTGAATTATGAGAAATAAACGGATGTTAAACAAGTTTCTTAGATTTTTATTTATTTATTTAAACACATACATATTGGTACAAAAGGGCACCAGATACATATGCGTCACACAAAACAATGAAAGTAGGAAGAGAAGGGATGAAAAGATAAGGGGGACTGAAATGTACAACCAGAAGAACTCTCTCAGTTAAGAAAGTTATAACCATTCTTCATTGAGAAAGTAAAAGAAAGTTACAGCAGGATCACCACTGGCTTCTGTTCTGAGCCATATCTTATAACGTCTCTAGCCACTGTGTTGCATCATCTCTCGGACCTCAGCCAGGGAGTCGTGAAGGACCAACAGAAGCTAGCCCTTTGCAGCTTTCTTTCATTCCACGACACCATGTTATACACTGACCACCTCTCCGCTTTTTCCAACCAGTCCCAGAGTCGGCAAATAATGCACGACGTGGAATTCTCTGGGACAACATTTGTAGAACATGTCCAAGCCACCGAAGTCGGTGTTTCAAGATGGTGACACCAATTGAATTATCGCCTCTGCACCCGAACATACGATGCCGAACCTCTGCATTACTAACATGGTGTTGCCACTGGATGTCAGCAATCCTTCGGAGTGTTAGGATATTCACAGGAATATCCCAAAAATTATCTCGAATGTAAAGTGGTATCTTTTCAGACTCTTCACATAATTCGCATGTTATTTCCTATTGGCCATTATTTACAGTTGTCCTAACTATGACTTTCACGTGTCGTTTTCCTACTGGTCAATTTTGAGTTGTCCTAATTATAACCTTTACGTGTCCTTCCTTTCCATTGGTTACTGTTAATAGTCATCTTAACTGTACAAATATGCCTTGTCTGTAAATCATTTTTGACCTGCTTCTGACCCCATAAACAATTCTTATTCAACGGCTGTGTTCTGATTTACTGGAGGTTGGGGAAAAGTATTGGGGTCGTACTAGGATATCTGAATTTGGTCAACCGGTAGAATTTCGTGTAGTCTTATCGCGATACGCAACATTTAGCGATATAACACGGAGACAGAGAGTTGTCTAACATCCTCAACTCGGAGAGGCCAGGTTTCACAAGCATAGAGCAAAACTGCTCTGACCGACGCGTTGTAGATCCGACCTTTTACAGCCAGACTAACATCACGAAGGTGCCAAAGATGGCCCAGATTGGCATAAGCCGCTCTGGCTTTCATTATACGTGCATCGATCTCATCACTCTCGCCACCACCAGTACTTATGTAGCTACCTAGATACACGAACTTCTGAACTACTTCAATCTGCTCACCATCTAGGGTGAGTACAGGATTAGAATCCTACCAGTCTTGTAGGAGTACTTTGCACTTGGAGGGTGCAAAGCACATACCGTACTTGCGGACACGGATTGCCAACTGATTAATTGCGGATTGCATGCCTTGGGCATTATCGCACAGTAAGACAATATCATCCGCATACTCGAGGTCGAGAAGTCGTTCTCCAGGCAGCAGATTCACACCGCCATTGCTTTCATCCATCAGAGCTGTTTCCAGAATGTCATCGGTGGCTGGCAGTGTAATCTAGGAGGTGCGTTTCATTCTATTTGCGATGAACCTATTTCTCAGTAGCTGAATGGGTATCTATATGAAATTAAGTGCTATTATATTCTCTTCAATTCAGAAAAATTATTACTACTAATCGAAAGTGATTATAATTTGTCTGGTACTTGAACCGTATATTAATACACGTAAATTGAATTCAAAATAGAAATGTTTATGGTAACATATATCATACAGGATCATTATTTACGGTGTACTGGAATACTAGACAGGCAGATAGATTATAGACAGGTGGTACATGGCACAAATATGTTTTGATTCAAGTAACCACATTTTACATACACTACACAATGGCACAATGAGAGGAAAGAAGTGAAAGAGGAATGCTATTTAAAGCTGTGAAAAGACGATAAAAAAAGTAGTGAACAAACAAACCGAAGTAACAGAGGAAAGTAAAAGTAATACTGTATTTAAGACTTAGAGGAGAATAACAAAATAGCTAGTTAATAAGTCTAACGATTATTCGTTTGAAGGATATATATATATATATATATATATATATATATATATATATATATTACTATAGTTATCTGAGCAGTTCGAAGTTGGATAAAACCAACAGTTTTTAAAAATATGTGACTAGGCTTACAGCAAATTTATAAATATTACGATCAATTGTTTGTGAAAATAATTCAAACTGAAATTAGTTGTCATTATGATAAAAAATCACTTGAAGAACCATTGAGAACAATTTAAAGTTGGTTAATTGTTTCATCTTATTCAGCAACTATAAACTAGGATCCAACAACACTTTAGTGTACTTCATATTTCTAGATTACGTTAGCTGGTGATCAAAACTCAACATTGAATGTGTTCATGAATTAGTTTCAAAGGATAAATTATAGGCCAAACAATATTTGTATTAAAAAGGAACGAATCGAGCGAAGAAATTTCTTTTCAATTAGTTTTTCATCATGGCTCTACACTAATATATATATATATAACATAATTCGAAAGGAATTTTGACGAATAAACATAAGGAAGCTCTAAGAAAACTTAAAACTAATGACAATTTATTAATCACTAAACCAGACAAAGGTTATGGGATAGTACTCATGGATAAAAACAACTATATAAACAAGATGAAAGCCCTTTTAAATGATCAAAGTAAATTTCAGAAACTAGTAGTGAAGAATGACTTGGCAGACAAGATTGAAAAGCAAATAATAGATTCGTTGAAACAAATCAAACAACAGGGTTTCATCTCAGAAAAAGTGTTCGAAATGTTAAAACCTACAGGAACGAGAACACCAAGGCTATATGGCTTGCCAAAAATACATAAAAGTGGCTTGCCCCTTCGACCCGTTTTAGATATGAATAACTCAGCCTACCACACTATAGCAAAATGGTTGGTGCAAATTCTCAAACCGCTCCACAAAGAAATTGTTAAACATAGTGTCAAGGATTCTTTTGAATTTGTCAACAATGTAAAAAATCTATCGCTTAAGAATAAATTTATGATATCATTAGATGTAACGTCCCTATTCACCAACATTCCTCTACTTGAAACGGTAGATTTTATTTGCAATGAAATAACAGAGAGGAACTTAGAAACGGTAATTCCCGTATCCGCAATAAAACAGCTAATTCTTAGATGCACAATGAATGTTCAATTCCGATTCGACAATGAGTATTATAGACAATTAGATGGGGTAGCCATGGGGTCACCATTGGGCCCTATACTGGCAGACATTTTTCTGGCAAAACTAGAAAATGGTCCACTCAAAGACACAATTAGCCATCTAACATCATATTGTCGCTATATAGATGATACCTTCATAGTATTAGAGAAAGAACATGAAAAGGAGAACATCCTTAATATATTTAATAATATCCACCCATCAATTACGTTTACACTAGAAGAAGAACAGAATGGTAGTATATCGTTTTTAGATGTCCAACTAACCAGAAGAATAGACGGAACATTAAAAAGAGGATTACATAGAAAATCTACAGTTGGACAGTACACTCATTTCTATAGCGCAGTACCAATGAAATACAAAAGAAACCTAATAAAGATCCTTACTCATCGTGCTAGAATGATTTGCTCTGACGACATTATTTTAGATGAATTGGCTAATATTCGAAACTTGCTTAGTAAGAATGGGTATCCAATGAAATTCATCGACAAACACATGACGGAGACGAAAAGAAGGACAAAGTTACCTACTGTTCCGAAGAAGGTACTGTTCATAAAGTTACAATTCTTAAATGATGCTACTGAAGAAATCTTGACACAGAGGTTAAGAAGGGCAGTACAGAAAACATTTAATGCAGCCCGACTTAGTACCGTCTTCTACAACCGCCCCACAATAAGAACTGTTAATAAAGACAGATTGCCTGAATTCGCCACATCTATGTGTATTTACCAATTCAACTGCTCCTGTGGAGCCAGTTATATAGGGCGTACAATTCGGCAAGTTCGTCAACGAATAACAGAACACCATCCGTCATGGTTGAATAAAGGACAGATAAAGGGGATTAAGAGTTCTATTCTCGCTCACTTGGTGGACACAGGTCATCATGTTGAACTGAATAAAGCTTTTAAGGTTATCTACCATATTCCATCAAATTTGCCACATGGTTTACGAGCTCGTCTATTGCACATAGCTGAAGCCATCGCAATTCATATCTACAAACCGAACCTATGTATCCAAAAGAAGTTTGTACAACCACTCTCGCTACCTTGGCCATCGGTATAGCGGAGTTTGTAGCATAATTTCGGTAAACAATTATCTTATTTCTTCCATTTTTTGTATTTTGTATTTTACTTATTCTCTTCATTCGTCTCTTGATTCTTACATAATTACTATATTACTGACCATTCATCAAAATTTTTAGTTCTTACTTCTCTTTTTTATATATTATGCAACGTAGCAACAGCTTGATTTTCGAATAACTACTTTGATTAGTATTAATCCTTCTCTTCCAATTAATGTTAGTTTATAATCGATGTCATTATATAATCATTACGTAACGTATCTACTCCATGAGTGTTATTTAATTATTGTAAATCATAGAGCCATGATGAAAAACTAATTGAAAAGAAATTTCTTCGCTCGATTCGTTCCTTTTTAATTAACAAATGTCAAAATGGGAATTTTCACTTTATTAAAATATTTGTATTGTTATGACATGTACATCATGATGTCAAAAGTATTTCATACAAACTGACCCATTACAATTTAGGCTTACTACATTCTAATTTTCGTCACGAAGTTCAACCCTTTAAAATGATACTCAGTATGTCTATTATTTTATAAAGTATTCAAATCGGAAATAACATCAAAGAAAGTCTAATTTTTATCATTCAATGTTTGAGAACATTTTTTTACATGTTGTTCACAAGTGAACAATTGTCTTGCCAAATAT